CGAAATATTACTATTTTACTGACAAAATATTACTATTTTACTGACAAAAAACCCCATAGAATTAATTGCATTTCCTATGTGGAAAATTAACATTTTTTCACTTACAAAATTACAATTCCATTAATTTTTTTTCCAAAATATATCATGATGACAAAAATCCGAGTTTTGTTTTGTTTGCTGCTGTTTACTGCTGTTTGCAGTTGTTTGCTGTTGTTTACTGCTGTTTGCTGTTGATTGCTGCTGTTTACTGCTGTTTGTTGTTGTTCGCTGTAGATTGCTGCTGTTCGCTGTTGTTTGCTGCTGTTTGCTGTTGTTTGTTGTTTGCTGCTGTTTTCTGTTGTTTACTGCTGTTTACAGTTGTTTGCTGTTGATTGCTGCTGTTTACTGCTGTTTGTTGTTGTTCGCTGTAGATTGCTGCTGTTCGCTGTTGTTTGCTGCTGTTTGCTGTTGTTTGTTGTGTGCTGCTGTTTTCTGTTGTTTGCTGATGTTTGCTGTTGTTTGTTGTTGTTTGCTGTTGTTTGTTGTTGTTTGCTGCTGTTCGCCGTTGTTTGCTGTTGTTTTTTTGTTGTTTGCTGTTGTTTGTTGTTGTTTGCTGTTGTTTGCTGTTATTTGTTGTTGTTTGCTGCTGTTCGCCGTTGTTTGCTGTTGTTTGTTGTTGTTTGTTGTTGTTTGCTATTGTTTGTTGTTTATTGCTGCTGTTTGCTGTTGTTTGTTGTTGTTTGCTGCTGTTTGTTGTTGTTTGCTGTTGTTTACTGTTTGCTGCTGTTGTTTGTTGTTGTTTGCTGTTGTTTGTTGTTGTTTGCTGTTGTTTGTTGTTGTTTGCTGTTGATTGCTGCTGTTTGCTGCTGTTCGCTGTTGTTTGCTGTTGATTGCTGTTGTATGCTGTTGTTTACTGCTGTTTGCTGCTGTTCGCTGTTGATTGCTGTTGTTTGCTGTTGTTTACTGTTTGCTGTTGTTTGCTGTTGATTGCTGTTGTTTGTTGTTGATTGCTGTTGTTTGCTGTTGTTCGCTGTTGATTGCTGTTGTTCGCTGTTGTTTACTGTTTGCTGTTGTTTACTGTTTGCTGTTGTTTGCTGTTTGTTGTTGTTTGCTGTTGTTCGCTGTTGATTGCTGCTGTTTGCTGTTGTTTACTGTTTGCTGCTGTTTGCTGTTGTTTATTGTTTGCGGTTGTTCGCTGTTGATTGCTGCTGTTCGCTGTTGTTTACTACTTTTCACTGTTGATTGCTGTTGTTTATTGCTGTTTGCTGTTGATTGCCGCTGTTTGCTGCTGTTTGCTGTTGTTTGTTGTTTGCTGCTGTTTTCTGTTGTTTGCTGCTGTTTACTGCTGTTTGCAGTTGTTTGCTGTTGATTGCTGCTGTTTACTGCTGTTTGTTGTTGTTCGCTGTAGATTGCTGCTGTTCGCTGTTGTTTGCTGCTGTTTGCTGTTGTTTGTTGTGTGCTGCTGTTTTCTGTTGTTTGCTGCAGTTTGCTGTTGTTTGCTGCTGTTTGTTGTTGTTTGCTGTTGTTTACTGTTTGCTGTGTAACAAAATAAGGGTAAAAATTTCATAACCAGTAATTGTTATAATTGATTGTGTATTTGTATTCCATAATTGATACACACTATGTCCATTTAATGTGTACATTTATAAATCACATTTATAAATTGTATATACGCTGCAAGCTGTGACCACTTTGACCATCGGTCAAGTCAACTAAGACCACTTTGGCCATCGGTCAAACTGGCTTTCATTGTAATGGGAATTCCACGACGCAATTCCCGAATGCTATAAATAAGACGCCCCGACCAAGCTAAATCAGTGCTGGTAGGGAGGTGCCCACAACAGGTCCAGAGTGCTGGTAGAAAGGTGTCCAACGAAAGGTACTATCCGGAATCAAGCTGATGTCCATTTGAAGTACTAAGCCACGAGACTGTTCCTTGGACAATACCAGTGCTCCGCTTCTCAAATACCACCAGGGAAGCGTAATTTTGTAAAACTGTTATCCTGTATAATGAACTCATTAAAATAGACGAAACGAACCTGACATTCCTTACTCTTGTCTATATAACAGTGTTATAGCTGTTGTTTTTTGTTGTTTTTTGTTGTTTGTTGTTGTTTGCTGTTGTTTGCTGTTGTCTACTGTTGTTTGCTGTTATTTGTTGTTGTTTGCTGCTGTTGGCTGTTGTTTGCTGCTGTTTGTTGTTGTTTGCTGTTTTTTTGTTGTTGTTTACTGTTGTTTGCTGTTGTCTACTGTTGTTTGTTGTTGTTTGCTGTTGTTTGCTGCTGTTTACTGTTTGCTGCTGTTTGCTGTTGTTTAATGTTTGCTGCTGTTTAGTGTTTTCTGCTGTTTGCTGTTGTTTGTTGTTGTTTGCTGTTGATTGCTGCTGTTTGCTGTTGTTTACTGTTTGCTGCTGTTCGCTGTTGTTTGCTGTTGATTGCTGTTGTTTGCTGTTGATTGCTGTTGTTCGCTGTTGTTTACTGTTTGCTGTTGTTTGCTGTTGTTTACTGTTGTTTGCTGTTGATTGCTGTAGTTTGCTGTTGTTTGCTGTTGTTCGCTGTTGATTGCTGTTGTTCGCTGTTGTTTACTGTTTGCTGTTGTTTGCTGTTGTTTACTGTTTGCTGTTGTTTACTGCTTGCTGTTGTTTGCTGTTGATCGCTGTTGTTTGCTGTTGTTCGCTGTTGTTCGCTGTTGTTTACTGTTTGCTGCTGTTCGCTGTTTTTTGCTGTTGATTGCTGTTGTATGCTGTTGTTTACTGCCGTTTGCTGCTGTTCGCTGTTGATTGCTGTTGTTTACTGTTTGCTGTTGATTGCTGTTGTTTGCTGTAGTTTGCTGTTGATTGCTGTTGTTCGCTGTTGATTGCTGTTGTTCGCTGTTGTTTACTGTTTGCTGTTGTTCGCTGTTGATTGCTATTGTTTGCTGTTGTTCGCTGTTGATTGCTGTTGTTTGCTGTTGATTGCTGTTGTTCGCTGTTGATTGCTGTTGTTTGCTGTTGTTTACTGTTTGCTGTTGATTGCTGTTGTTCGCTGTTGTTCGCTGTTGATTGCTGTTGTTCGCTGTTGTTTACTGTTTGCTGCTGTTCGCTGTTGTTTACTGTTTGCTGTTGATTGCTGTTGTTTGCTGTTGTTCGCTGTTGATTGCTGTTGTTCGCTGTTGTTTACTGTTTGCTGTTGTTTGCTGTTGTTTACTGTTTGCTGTTGTTTACTACTTTTCGCTGTTGATTGCTGCTTTTTGCTTTTGTTTACTGTTTTCTGTTGTTTGCTGTTGTTTACTGCTGTTTGCTGTTGTTTGCTGCTGTTTACTTTTCGCTGTTGATTGCTGCTGTTTAATGTTCGCTGTTGTTTGCTGTTGTTTGCTGCTGTTCGCTGTTGTTTGCTGTTGTTCGCTGTTGTATGCTGCTGTTCGCTGTTGTTTGCTGTTTGCTATTCGCTGTTTACTGTTTGCTGCTGTTGTTTACTGTTTGCTGTTCTTTGTTGCTGTTCGCTGTTGTTTGCTGTTGTTTGCTGCTATTATTTATATGAGATTTTGCTATTTTTATTGACAAAATTTTGGCATTTCACAATTTTGTACTTACAAAATATTACCGTTCTACATTTTATACCGACAAAAACATTGTTTTCTTTTTAAATTGTTTTTGACATACAAAAATATTGACATCTTACATTTCCTATTTGCAAAACTTTGCTTTTAAAAACTGTTCGTCCTCAAAATGTGTAATTTGAACTTTTCCAGTATTCATTAATATTTAAATGAAGACTACGGGTTTCCGGGTTGTTTGCGATAATTGGGAAACTTTAAAGCACCTGTATTAAACAGGGTATCAGCGATAATCAATCGAGTCCTTGTTGCCCGTTGCATTTTTACGGTCTAATAGATCGTGATTTTTTCTTACAAGCATCGAAAACATCCCTTTGTTGTGTTTTCCCTCGAGTTTTCCTTCTTTTTCCCGGAGGTCCGAGACTTTGCAAGGCTTCGCGTTTGAGTCGATGTTTTGCTTCGGATTTTATTACGGACGCCACGGCATTGATTCCCGATCTTACTAGAGGAGGGATCGATTGAACGATACTGTCACCACAGAAAGAGACGACAAAATCTCGTCGACAGTAGGATTATTGCTTCATAACCATCAGTGAAGACAAAATACTCAGTAATATGACCCGATTAAACAAAGTGATTTGTACTGCTGAAAATTCTATATCTAGACAAGATTACATAATAACTCTACTCGAGACATACAAATCTACAGTCTATATTACTGATCACCCATGCCGATGTCACACACAATACTCATGTAACCATTTGTAATTATCATCAACCTACATTTTGGTTTGGCTAGGTTCATCATGTGAATCTTTCCACGAAACGTTCAACATACGACAAACCATGTCGTTTCTTAAATACCTTTAAACTCCAGAGTTCTAAAATACACACAGACAAGAACGATAACTCTTTACAATGTTTCTATCAATAAAACAAAGTACTGAGAGTACGTAAACAACTCTGTTCACAGAACAGATACCCTAATCCTGTTAGTGTCCTCGCTGTATTCGAACTCCTCTAAAAACGTCACTTCCGGCTTGATTTAAATAATATCTATCGAAAAGACTTCTGTTCAATAAATCAAGGACACAAATGATTCCTCTACCTTTGTACTACATTCTTTACTTGAAAAGCGACCAGAAATGACAATTGTACACTAAGCTACATGAAATGCGTATCAACTTGTAAATTTTTGATATTTTAAAAGTATCATTCCTGCTTCCTTAACCTTTCCAAGATGGCCGTCTGTCAGCCTTTTTTTCCTGATCAGACCTAAAATAAAATGGGCATGACTAGGGACCAAAGGGAACCTACATATGAAATTAAAAAAATTGTCAAGTACTTCTCAAGAAATAGCGATAAAAACTTTCGAAATCAAAATCCAAGATGGCCACCTGTCGGCCATTTTGTTTTTCGGAGCATACCTAAAATAAAATGGGCACAACTAGGGGCAATCTAATATAAATAACAATTCCACTAACAAGTTTGAGATAATTATTTATTGTAAGGGACATATCTTATACATCAATAACAATATCATGACATTTTTTATGTAAAATACTTCACAAGGATTAATTACTATAAACGTAAATGTGATTTTTGTGTCTTTCATGCTGAATTTGCTGCAGTTTCTGTAGGCTTTTATCAATATGTGATATATCACAGAATTCTATATTGACAGGAGCAATAGCAATAACACATTTAATATGAACAGAAAACAGACAGCAACAAAATAAGACAAAAAACTGTCTTATATAAAAGTGACTTAAACAATACTGAAAAGTTCATAGCAGAATATGGTCGGAGTACAAGACAGAATAAAAAGTTATAACATATTTTTTTTTCAGAAATAGCAATGCCTGAATCATCAGATATATCCAGGCCCAGAGATCTACATGTATAACTTATTAACACTTTCTTTATATGACTTTGTCAAGTCTCTAAATTACATGTATAATTTATTAACACTTTCTTTATATGACTTTGTCAAGTCTCTAAATTACATGTATAACTTATTAACACTTTCTTTATATGACTTTGTCAAGTCTCTAAATTACATGTATAACTTATTAACACTTTCTTTATATGACTTTGTCAAGTCTCTAAATTACATGTATAACTTATTAACACTTTCTTTATATGACTTTGTCAAGTCTCTAAATTACATGTATAATTTATTAACACTTTCTTTATATGACTTTGGCAAGTCTCTAAATTACATGTATAACTTATTAACACTTTCTTTATATGACTTTGTCAAGTCACTAAATTACATGTATAACTTATTAACACTTTCTTTATATGACTTTGTCAAGTCTCTAAATTACATGTATAACTTATTAACACTTTCTTTATATGACTTTGTCAAGTCTCTAAATTACATGTATAACTTATTTCATGTAAGTAACATTACCATTGATACACTGTCTTTAAGCTGTATACTACCATGAGATTAATATCATGACAATTCTGCTGTATTTCTTAAGTAATAAGCCTGCCCCTGAATCAGAGGTAATCTGTCAGTCATTTGGACTTATTGGACTTATTGTCCTGTAATAAGCTGGCCCCTAACTTTGAATCAGTGGCAATGTGTTTGCCCAGTGGACTTATTGTCCTGTAATAAAACCTTCTCTAACTTTAAGTTAGAGATAAGGTGTTTGTCCACTGGGCTTAATTCAGTACAAATTGGGGATAGGAGTGTGGGTAGCATTTATAATGCTTTAAAGATTTAAAGAGTGGGTTGAAAACTGAGAAAAGAAATGTATGAACAAGTTTTAAAAAAATCCACCAGGAAAACACTTTTTGATGTATTGGTTATAAAGCCATCATTGTGTAACAGAAAGTTGTTGAAAATTGATTACAGAGATCTCAATACAAGGGGAAGCAACTCTTCCAAATACAGTCAACTCCAACTGCCATTCAGAAAAAATGCACCTGTTAGGGTGATAAAGCCAACAGTTCAACAGGGTATTGATTGTAAATTGTAGAAGGAGATCTCCCGACAAAGCAAAAATTACCATAGAGAGGTTGGACAACACAAAGACATAACATGTTAAAATTTTTGATTGAAATACAAAATGATACAAAAAGAGAAAGACATCACACTTATCAAACTCATTACAGTATGATTTACACTAGAGCTTCATTTGAAGTTCAATTTCTAATGTGCTTACATGATACCCTAGACAGGAAAATATCTATAGTAGACAGGACAATATCTACCCTAGACAGGACAATATCTACCCTAGACAGTAGACAGGACAATATCTACCCTAGACAGTAGACAGGAAAATATCTAGCCTAGACAGTAAACAGGACAATATCTACCCTAGACAGGAGACAGGGACAATATCTACCCTAGACAGTAGACAGGACAATATCTACCCTAGACAGTAGACAGGATAATATCTACCCTAGACAGTAGACAAAACTATATCTACCCTAGACAGTAGACAAGACAATATCTACCCTAAACAGTAGACGGGACAATATCTACCCTAGACAGTAGACAGGACACTATCTACCCTAGACAGTAGACAAGACTATATCTACCCTAGACAGTAGACGGGACAATATCTACCCTAGACAGTAGACGGGACAATATCTATCCTAGACAGTAGACGGGACAATATCTACCCTAGACAGTAGACGTGAAAATATCTACCCTAGACAGTAGACAGGACAATATCTACCCTAGACAGTAGACAAGACTATATCTACCCTAGACAGTAGACGGGAAAGTATCTACCCTAGACAGTAGACAGGACAATATCTACCCTAGACAGTAGACAGGACAATATCTACCCTAGACAGTAGACGGGGCAATATCTACCCTAGACAGTAGACGGGACAATTTCTACCCTAGACAGTAGACAGGACAATATCTACCCTAGACAGTAGACGGGACAATATCTATCCTAGACAGTAGACGGGACAATATCTACCCTAGACAGTAGACGTGAAAATATCTACCCTAGACAGTAGACAGGACAATATCTACCCTAGACAGTAGACAAGACTATATCTACCCTAGACAGAAGACAAGACAATATCTACCCTAGACAGTAGACGGGAAAGTATCTACCCTAGACAGTAGACAGGACAATATCTACCCTAGACAGTAGACAGGACAATATCTACCCTAGACAGTAGACGGGGCAATATCTACCCTAGACAGAAGACGGGACAATTTCTACCCTAGACAGTAGACAGAACAATATCTACCCTAGACAGTAGACAGGACAACATCTACCCTAGACAGTAGACGGGACAATATCTACCTTAGACAGTAGACAGGAAAATATCTAGCCTAGACAGTAGACAGGACAATATCTACCCTAGACAGTAGACAGGACAACATCTACCCTAGACAGTAGACGGGACAATATCTACCCTAGACAGTAGAAGGGACAGTATCTACCCTAGACAGGAGACAGGAAAGTATCTACCCTAGACAGGAGACAGGACAACATCTACCCTAGACAGGAGACGGGACAATATCTACCCTAGACAGTAGACGGGACAATATCTACCCTAGACAGTACACAGGAAAATATCTACCTTAGACAGTAGACAGGAAAATATCTACCCTAGACAGCAGACAGGAAAATATCTACCCTAGACAGTAGACAGGATAATATCTACCCTAGACAGTAGACGGGACAATATCTACCCTAGACAGTAGACAGAAAATATCCATCCTAGACAGAAATCAGAGACTTTCCTTTGAAATGTGAGGGATTTCATTAACCAACCCGACTGAATACACATACTCAGCCATTACATCAGACCAACACTTCCTTACTGTTTTAGTGGCAGTCATCATTTCTCTGTGTATGATTATTCAGTCATGTTTATAAATATACAATGGAATGGAAATATAGAAATTTTGTCATAAATAAAAATAATAATTTATACAAATATGTCTTTGAAAATATTTGCATAGATTTAGTATGCCATGAGACAGAGCAAACTCTGTTAGAAAGATTCATACCAAAATGTTTTAATGATATAAAAAATGTACATCACAGAATGCTTTTTTGATTAAAAAACATGTAAACCAAAACAAGTTGCTAGAAACTGATGCCTCCCACATCCTATAAGACCATATTCATCCACATCTATCTGCCCCCTTCTTCATTTTTGCAGAATCATTAATCTTAAAATAGTAAGCTAAAAGCATTTTACAAATAAGCCCTCCTTCATATTTCAGTTTTCGAATCATGGTATTTAGGGCTATAAATAAGCCCTCCTTCATATTTCAGTTTTCGAATCATGGTATTTAGGTATAATATAAATAAGAGTATGAACTATATGGAATTATTACTTATTGCAAGTTTTCTTGAACGAGTAAACTGATAATAAAATTCATGCAAGGAATTCAGTTTTTGATTCTAGATTTTGTTTGACCAACTTTAAATTGAGTTTTAATTGAATTTTTCATAATAATCAAGACTGAAAACAAATTTTAAAACACAGGTGCCCTTGAAATGATCTTACATTATTATGATAAAAAGCCTTGAAAATCTAAATCAATGACTTGAAATTGGACTTGTATATAACTAGATTGTAGATACACAATATGTCTCCTAACCAGTTTCAACAACTGTACATTGGTTGGTAGTGTAGAGATGGCTTTATTTTGAATGTAATACGTTTTAGGAAAAATATGGGTTCTTAAATTGATGAAAAACTCTAATTCATGGAAGACATAGGTGTTTATAACAATGGTTCTATTGCTTGTTTAAACTTATGAAAGAAATAAAACCTTTTACAGAAAACTAGAATCTCAAAAATATTCAGAATTCTTACTGCTTTCACAAGAGTTCAAAACACCCTTGTAAAAATCAACATCACCAGTCTAGTTAAGATACTAATATTTTACTCCAGTAAATCAACAGAAATATTTTATGATTAACAAACAAGGCTTTGTTTCAGTGCCAGCAGACACAGAGGATTAACAGTCCTTTATAGTACAGTACAGTGTATACTGCTAGCAGTGGTGCTTATCTCGTCTGGTTCTTCTCCGTTGTTTACTTGTTCTATGGCTTTTCTTATCTGTGAAAAAGAATAAAATTTTAAAAAAGTTAAAACAGATCATGGAACTCACTATTGACTGATCTTAATGTATTCTTTTTCTTCTTTTCTCTTCTTTATACAAGGTATTGACAGGTGAAATCTTTGTATGTTAGTATCTTTCCAGAAATAGCGTTATCAAATCTGATTATCAAAATCAATGATTGCTACCTTTCACCCATTTTGTTTTTGCAATGGGCTAAAATTGGTCATGATCTTTTTTCTGTTTACTGAAAAGTATTCATGTTGTGAAAATAAATGTCCATATAGCTTGAACACCTGGCTCCATTTGTAGGACATGGATCATTAGCTGGGCGCACACAAATATAAATGGCAATTTATTCAAACTTACATCATTTTTCCTTGGATAACTTCCAAGTTTTGCCTTGGAGAAAATAAGCTTGCCATTGACAGAGACCTCAAACAAACCTGAAATGTTGAGGGAATTACCATCGGTATCATACTGTATAATAAATGTTTCAATTATATGGGTAAACTTTGTCCAGACTGGACGCAGGGCAATTGTCTAGAATGGACACTGGTCAATTCTTGTAAAGAAAGGACCCCGATCAATTTTTGTCAAGACTGGACACTGGTCAATACTTGTGTAGCATTGACACTGTTCAATCCTTCTAGACTGGATACGATTTTTATCAAGACTGAACCTTGGTAAATTTCTGTATAGACTGGACTCTGGTCGATTTGTAGCCAGTCAGAAATAACTTGGTTATGGCATCAACAATCCACATACACTCGGCAACATGTGACAGGTACATATATATTCATTATCTGTAGTGGAACGGGAAAACGACTGCTTCCATTTTTAGTGTATTTACGTGTTTTGCCTGTGCCTCGATGGTCCTATGTGCACGTCCTGTGTATGTCCCGTGTACGTCCTATCTTGTCCATATTTGGTGTTGTTATCAAGTTATATGTTAATTAGGGTGTAAGTTGTGGGGAAAACATGCGAGTGTGAAATTAAGGAAATAAAACTATTTTACAACCACGCATTTATCGCAGTCGGCCGCATACCGGGGTGGTAATGTATCCTCTGGAGTCGGCTTGGTAAAACAGAACAGAAACAGTTATGACAAGACATTGGATTTGTCACAGTGATACTGAAACAGATGTATGTAAAAGTACAGAAATCAATAGCCACCTTGTTGTACAGTGACTAACAAATTTAGATTTGGCCTTGTATCTCTCAAAGAGACATGGCAACTTTTATAGCAATATACACTGTACATGCAGTGTAGATATTAAAAGATACAATCATGGATTCTCTCCTTTTCTGAGGTACCTGTGTCAGATTTCATTTTTGTTTATGGGGTAATTTTGATATCCGAGTAAGTAGGACTTATTGGGGTAAATCTAGAGGCATTCCAAAACAAGTGGCATGGCCTTGAATGAAAAAGCATTGGCTATTTGATAGTTTGACGGGTAAAACGATCGAGTCATTCACGACAGTATAAGTATTGTGTTGATGTAAAATGGGGCGAGTATTGCTCTCATTCCAGTCCTTACTTTGTCATCCTGAGAAAGCTTCAACTCTGGCTCCTGGTGCCTCCTGCAGAATAACTTTGCGGATTCCATTATACCAGCCTTTGCTTAGTTGTCATTCAAAACTGAAATTGAGAATGCACCATTGTCAGTCGTTCATAAAATGTTAACGTACGATGGATCCGCGCCATGACATAAAGACATTTTATTTAATATTAGAAATTTTAAATGATGACAATACTGTTAACTATTAAATAATAACTATTGTGCGTAACCTGTCCAGTTTAAGAACTTCGCGGTGGTTAAAAATCTTGATCCCCGACAGTAGAACTGTTTATACAAAATTATTGAGTTAGGTAGTCGGCCTTATATTGACCTTTACACATTTAGAAAAAAATGATGTCAGAAACCGAGATATGAAAGGGTTAACCACATGAACATTGCTCACCAGGTTTGGACAGTTACATGAATATCTTTCGATACCCTAATATTTTCTTTCTCTTCCTTGTTCGCCATAACTTCTGTTGAATTTCTTTAGAGTAGCTCCCCTTTAAACCTAGTTCCGGGAAGTTCTATTGGTAGGATAAACGACCAGTATGGAGCGCACTAGCAATGACGTACGTAGTGTGCGAGATGGTACAGAATCAACCAACTTTTTCGGCTGTACTGTTAACAGATTACACATGATGGTAACAATGTACTGTTGTCATTTTGACTTCGTTTTGTTTAACACTTGGTCATAGATGTGCGAGAGAATATTGCGCCCAACGACTTCGATAATACATCTTTTTCATTTTCTGATGATAACTCTATAAAAATAATGCATTTAAACATTCGTAGTGTTAGAAACAAACTAGATTTTGTTGAGAGTTTCACTGATGATATAGACATCTTGTGTCTAACAGAAACGTGTCCCGATTCTTTCATTCCTGATTCTGACCTTCTTACAAACTTCCAATTATATTTAGAAAAGATAGGAACGCTTTTGGTGGTGGTGTTATGATCTTTTCAACCAATGACATACTTCCAAAACGCTTGATATTGAATCACGAAACGACGAAATTAATTTGGATTGAATTTTGTTCTGATAATAAGAAATATCTTTTATGTGTATTATATAAGCCTCCACGGCAAAACTCTAACTCTGGAATTTGGACACGGCTGAAAATTCTCTTGATATATCCTTTGATTATACACCTCATGTTATACTGACAGGGGATACTAACATTAACTTACTTACTGGAAATAACAATGATCTCACCTTCCTTAAACAACAATATAATTTAACTAACCTAGTAACACGTCCGACTAGAGTAACAAACACTACACAATCTCTCATCGATCCATTTTATATCAGTGATACTATATCCTCCGATTCATCCATCGTTGTACCTGTTCTGGAAGCTGTAAGTGATCACAGAGCTATCAGTGTGTCTCTATTGTCCTATCAACCAAAACCGAAATCTTTTAAAAATATGGTTATACAGTAGAGCAGATATTTTAACCCTTAAAAGTGAAGTTAGACAAGTAAACCGGGTTAATTTGTTTTCTGTCACTGATGATGTGAGCGAGAAATGTGTTTTATTCACTGAAAAACTTACTTCTATTTTAGAGAAACATATTCCTAAAAAACTTATAACTGCAAATGAAAATGACAAACCATGGATGAACAGAGAAATAGATTAAGGAAGTATTTAAGAAGAGTTAAAACCGCACATTCAGAAGCTAAATACAAACGTGCAAGAAACAAAGAAAATAATATGCTTAGATATGCTAAAACACATTTTTATGATAATGTTGATGGTCTCATCCGTAACAGTTCAGCTAATCCGGGAGTATACTGGAAACTAATGCGCATGCTCTTAAAAGGTAACACTTCTACCGACATACCTCCCTTACTAAATCCTGCTAACAAACACTTGACTACTGATGACTATATAAAATCCAATATTTTAAATAACTTTTTAAAATCTGTCTCTGACCTTGTTGACCCCAATGACGTCACACCCTACTTTAACTTTACAACTGACTCTTAGTATAGTATAGTATAGTAGTGTTTCCGGTACACAGTGTTCCTCTTCACCAGACTCAAAAATTATATTACTGTGGTAAATGTTCATTTTCCGGTTAGTTTCCAGTAGCTCTATAATTATATAAAATATCTTGATTTTTCCAAAACTTATCCAGTTTGTTTTTAAAAGTATTTATCTTTGGAGCAGATACAATGTCTTCTGTAAGATTATTCCATGTTTTTACAGTTCTTTTAGCAAAGCTATTTCTTCTTCTGTTGGTCCTGTGTTGTTGAAGAAAAAGTGTTTTAGAGTGTCCTCAACCACTTCTTATTCCTGCGTCCATCTTAAGCTTTACAAAATCCTTATCATATATACCATTTGTGATTTTATAGAGTTCTATCATATCCCCTCTAAGCCTTCTGTATGTTAAAGTTGGAAGATTAAGCTTCTGTAGCCTGTCCTGGTACGACATATCCTGCATTCCAGGTAAACTTTTTGTGGCCCTGCGTTGAACGGACTCCAGCTCATCTATATCTTTCACTTTTACTGGTGACCAAACAGAACTTGCGTAATCCAGTTGTGATCTCACCAAGCTTTTGTTCAGCGGAAGAAAAGTTTTAGAATTCATAAACTGAAATGTTCTTCTTAACAATCCGAAACTTTGATTTGCTTTCTTCACTTTTTCACTTATGTGGTCTTGGAAAGAAAGTTCAGAATCTACCATTACTTCAATGTCTTTTTCCTTATCAGTGACTGTTAGACTATTCCCAAGTAATAGGTACTTTGCTCCTGTTCCATCTATCTGTGCAGTATCTTGTCCGACCAACATATGTTTGTATTTGTCTGTTATATGTATATGTTATCATTTATCTATCTTCTCTTACTGATATTGAAATAACAGAACAAGAGGTTTTCGACACTATTAATATTTCTAGACATTAACAAAGCAGCTGATATAAGTCATAAGATGTTAAAAATGATAACTAGTGAAATAGCTGCACCACTCACCATTCAAGCAACAGACGTCAATCAGTTGTCCTTAAAAATATTGTCTCTCGAGAAGTGTGTTTTAAAGCCGGGGTTCCCCAAGCTTCCGTTCTTGGCCCTCTTCTCTTTCTTGTATACATTAACGATATTTCAAACACTCTTTTATCTGTTACTAGACTTTTCGCTGACGATACTGCATTAGCATACTCTTCTAAACATTTACACGATCTAAAACAGGTAATAAACTACGACATGGAACAGCTGAATCTTTGGTCTCGAAAATGGTTAATGAGCTTCAATCCAACTAAAACTGAAATACTCCTGATTTCTAACACAAATATACCTTCTAACCCAAAATTTCTCTTTGACAACACACCCATTCCTATAGTTAACAAACAAACAAACACTTAGGAGTAGTTATAAACAGCAATGGTACTTGGAACTCTCACATTGATGACATTTTGACAACACTTAGGAAACTTAAGTACATCTTGAACAGAAAAAATCTTAGAAAGAAAAAAATATATCTTGTTTTTATCAGACCACTTTTTGAATACGCCTGCGAAGTTTGGGACAATTGCAATACCACTCTTTCAAATAAATTAGAAAATATTCAGTATGTAGCAGGTCGTATAATTACAGGATTACCAGTATTTACTAAACAATAATTTATTTACAAAGAGCTAGACAGGCAATCGCTAGTGAACAGACGTAAAAATAGGAAGTTATCTATGTTTTATAATATTTATCACAATAATGCTCCTTCATATCTAAATTCTCTACTACCACCTACTGTATCAAATTCTACAAATTCCAATCTTGGAAACAGAAATAACTTTCAAAATCCACTCTATATGCTATAACTTACAAATTCATCCTTTATACCAAGCACTTCAGACTCCTGGAATATTCTACCTATCGAAACTAAGTCATCTGATTCTATCAAACAATTCAAAACTATTCTACCTCATCTTACTACCCCTACGAATATTAAATCATTTCTTGAGTACGGGCCTAGAAAAGTAAACAAAATACATTGCCAACTCCGCAACCGCAGCAGCTCTAAATTATGATCTTTACAAAGCACGTCTTCGACCCAATTCTTCATGCAGTTGCGGACACCATTCTGAAGACTTTAGTCATTACTTGCTTTTCTGTAACAACTTTGATCAATTATGTAATATAATGCTTCAGTCTCCTTAATGGTAAACGAAATAACTGGAACACCTTCTATTTGGGGATGAAAATCTCGATACTGATAAAAATATTGTCATCTGTAGGTCTGTACAATAATTTATTTCTATATTTCTAGTTCTAAACGTTTTAACATTTAATCATCGATAACCAGGACACCTAGTACGTCTATATTGTCCCTTCCCCTCACCCCTTCCATTCATCCAGTTTCATCCTTTCCTCCCAACACCGACGGGTATTCTTTTATTTATATAATTATAATGTTTATTTAATACATACTTTGTAAAATTTTCATATTTTAGCAAAACCATATACTAAGATCACGGCTGTGGTTTCCTAATCTTGTCGGCAAAGCAGGTAGAGTACGGCATCGTAGAAGGACAAGGAATGATCCAGGAGAACGACAACTAAAGCACGGGATGTGACTGAACATTTTAGATAAGTAGAACGCAATTTGTGTTCAGTAAAGAGTCATTTCTTTGCCGACTGGATTAGGAAATGACAGTCACCAAATCCACAGAATTACTCATCGGTGCCCCCCCTCCCCCCCCCCCTATATCCCAATTTTGTTTTCTTTTTCTCATTTTCTAAGCATTTCTTTAACTTAAAAAATATGAAAAGTTCTAAGGCTATTGCGCGACTATCTTAATTTGTATGTTTTAAATTGTTACTTGAAGGGGCGTAAGTAAGTTGTTATAACTTTTGTCCATTCCTGTTGTATTTTGTTTGCAATAAAATTGATTTAAACTAGAGAATATTGCGCCCACCGGGCCTTTCCCGTCCCTGTTTAGTACTGGCCCGCTGCGACGTATTTTCGAACTTAGTGTACATATGATTATAGTATAGTCGAAATAGTCCGCCTTTGTTTGGTGGGTTAGATAGTAATCGTGCAGTCTTGGCCAGCGTCTTTGTGTCGTTATATCCACCATGTTAATGTCCTCAATTGGCCACAGGTACCCGAGAATCGGATTAATTTAATTGATTAACTAAAAAACACCATTTTATTGACAAGTACCCTTCGTCTATATAGTGTCAATTAATTAATCCAGTTCTTGGGTACCTGTGCAATTGGCGCAAAGCATTTCTAGGAAATCCACTTCAAAACTGTTAGTATTTGTGATTTTTTCATTTGTTTTCGCGCACATTATATGTTCGCTATTAATTAACTGCACTTAGTGATGACTGATGTATACATTAGGAGAACAGTTGCAAAGCTATTCTATATTTCAAAGGGAGATTCCAGAGGGGTCATTTTTTGACCAGTGGGGTCTTTGCACTTATAATCACACCTAAAATAAAAAGAGCGCAACTACGATCGAAGTGTAAATTTGAGAAAGATCCATTCAGTACCAAACAAAAAATAGCGGTAACATACATTCATTCTCAAAATACCAGATTGTAGCTTTTGCCACAGACTTGTAGTTCATTACATTTGAGGTTCATTAACACCAGTATTCGCTAAAACATTTTGACCTGCGTTCAATGCACAAGCCAATCCAAAAAATGAATCATTAGCAAAACGGTTGATTTCAACAAAGCCATTCAAGCTTCTCAAATAAATGGCATGACCAATGAATGAGGCCTATAATCCATTTCTCATTTACTATACTCATATTCATTGTACAAGTGACTTAGTCACAATCGCACATGTATATGACATTAATAATAATTAACTTAATTAAATTAATAATAATTATATTTACATATTTCAATTAATTACACATTTCTCTGATATCAGGGTATCAAATATGATCCGAGTCAACAATTGACAACAAATGATAATTGGAATATTACAATCAACTCCGTTGAAATATCAATATATATATATATATATATATATATATATATATTATATATAACTAAATGTATTGTCAACTCCATCTTATAGGTAAAGAACAAACTCTGTACAATATATAAAAAATGCACAAAATCTCCCAGCAGTCCTCCTTTGAAGTCACAATAACTGCTTCAAGGGGTTGGTGGTGTGAGAGTTTAAACAGATTTATTTACATACAATACACATAAACAATCAATGAGGGTCCCTGTTACCAAACTACCGCTCACGAAGACCCGGAAGATTGGCCAAACGCTCAGATTTGACACACAAGGTTATTGGTTAATAGATTTCTCATCCGTACCGTTCTCTGGCTTGGGTCAAAAGAGCACGAACGTACCTCCGCCAGTAAGAGAGTCACAATCAGGGGCAGTAACTGCCTAATAATCCCAACAATCCTTCCCGATTTATTATATCGAACACTAAATGTCAAAATAAAATACCACGGAAAAGAAAGAAGCTGCTTATGCAAAATTATCATGTTTCAAAGGAAACCACATTAATTAACAGTTCGCTACTTGCAAATATAATTTTAACCATAGTTTGCGAAGTAAAAGAGACCGGCCCAGGACGCGAATATAACTAAATTGCATAGCCTTTCAAGTAAGAAGGTCTTTTCACTCGACGTCCAGATCTAGGCACACTGGTAGGGCTCTCATCCTTCCCATCAGCATCACACTGATCAAGGCTGGTGTCCGAGTCACCGTCGGTGGTTTCCATAGCATTACAAATGCCAGTACTTGCAGTCGCCTTGGCATCCTATGTATTGGAGTCATCATCCGAGGGGGCAGCCGCTGGCTCCACTTGATCGAACAACACTCGCCTAGCTCATAACCATAATGGAAGTGTTCCATCAGTACACAGTTTTAATTTGTCGTGATGAATATTCTTTGATTTTCCTCTATTGTCCTTCAAGATATAAAGTGGAAGTTCACTCCCAATCACCAAATAAGGCCCCTTCCATGGTGGTCTAAGTTTGCGACTTTGCCCAATGACTGTTGCTTCATCAAGTGTGTACACAACATCCCCCGGACAATACTGTTGTTCACGCAACTTCAAGTTGTAGTCTTTCTTTTGACGATATTGAGCACTCGCAAGATGATGTCTTGCAAACTGATGAGACTCCGTCATCACTTTGTTCAAATTTTGCACCCATTCAACTGGTTCAAATTCTTCCAGGTTAGCTTGACTGACCCCCATCATTATTTCCGCCGGCAACATAACTTCTCTGCCTAACATTAGTCGATTTGGTGTATGACCAGTGGACTTATTTTCCGAGTCATGCAATGTCATCACTAGAGTTGGCAGGTTTTTATCCCAGTTCCTAACTTTGCCCTCTATGTATCACCGTAGTATCTGCGCGATAACCCGGTTATCACGCTCGACCTGTCCATTGGATGACTGGTGATAGGGTGTCGCTCGTGTCTATGTGATTTGGAGTATTTCACATAATTCTTAGAACAAGCTGCCATCAAAGTTCTTGCCTTGATCTGTATTAATAGTCAATGGACACCCAAAAGTTACCACAAAGTGGTTGAAGAACTCGCGAGCGATCAAGTCTGCTGACTGATTTGGTAAAGCTACACATTCGATCCACTTTGAGAACTGGTCAATCATGACAAGTACATACGAATTGCCAGATTCACTTGGACTGAACGGACCCATAATATCCAAATGAACCCTCTCCATTGGGTATCCAGCGTGATGGATTCGAAGAGCTGCTTTTTGTCTCCGACAAGATTTTTTGTTAATATTGCAAACGGCGCATTCATTTAAATAGTTTTTGCAATCCTCTGCCATTTGATACCATATGT